GAGCTGCTGCCTCTGGGCTCCTTTGGGAGCAGAGCCTGTTGTTTGAACCAAAACCCTCTGAAAGAACAAAACAGAGAAATGTGCATTTAGACTCGGTGTCACAGTTAGGCCCAGAATGCCCCGTTCTGACTAGGCCCTTTCCTGCAATACATTTACTAGAGCCGCTTGCCAAGGATGTGCCCCAAATCCTCAGATAAAAGATAGCAGCCTCACCATTCTTTATGGCTATACATTCCCTCTAAAGCCTCCCCACAGCTTCCATTTAATCTAAACTACATTTAAACTGGAAATGGGCCCAAACCCAATACTCTAAACTTGAGGAAAGCTCAGGATGTGGATCCAAATGGTTTGGTTGGGCCCATCTTTAAGTGAGACTTGGTTTAAGCAGCCACCCAGGAAACAGCAGCAACTGGTTGCTTAATAAAAGCAGGTCTTAAAATAAAAGATCAACCACAAGTATCATGGAAAATCTCTGCACCTTTCCTCATGCCTGTATTTCTCCTCTGCAGGGAAAACTTTTCAGAAGTTACCCCAAGCCCGTACCCTTTTTCAACGTTTCATTTCTGCCATGATCCCTGCACGTAACAAAGCAGATACATTTATTTATCTCCATTCAGTGCCATGATAAGCACTGACTGGAGATCAAGTCAGCAGGTGTCTCTTTTCATTAAGCTGAAATGCATTTTTAATTCTGAATCTTTGAGGCTATTATTGTATCATTTCCCATATTGAAACAGTCATGATGATCCTCAGTGGACTCAGAAGGGTAACCAGGTTAGTCTATATCTGCAAAAACAACATACTGTGGCACCTTAGCCCTGGTCTACACAAGGACTTTATTTCGGAAAAACCCCAGCCCCCCACCCCAAGATAAAATGTATAAGCAGAGCGTCCACGCTACCAAGTTAATTCAAAATCCATACTCCTGCTTTTCATCAGGAGTAATGCTAATTCCAAAATAGTTATTTCAAAATAACAAGTGTGAATGCTCCAGTGTCACTATTTTCGAATAACTACTCCCCAGAGTAATTTGAATTAATTACTCCCCAGTGCTTCCTGAGGCTCTAAGTCCAATGTAGCGTGTCCACAGTAACGGAGCTTGCCTTGGACTAATTTCCAGGCTTCTCCGTAGTGTGGACACGTTTGCTCGAATTTGTTAAATCAGGAGTTAAGTTGATTTTAGTAATTTTGAAATACTTTCCTAGTGTAGACGTGGCTTTAGAGGCTAATAGATTTATTTGAACATAAGCTTTTGTGGGCAAAATGCCCACTTCAACAGTGAGCTTATGCCCAAATAAATAGTCTCTAAACATCCTACACTAATGTCCAAGTTGATTTTCCTATAGCTTTCTTTCATTTTTTTCCTCTCTCATTGTTCCTTGTAGAATCTACCAGTGGGTCTGCGAGCTGAAATCCATCTGCAGGAGATTGTTCAGAACAAATTGCTTCAATTACTCCTTCAAATTACTCTTTTTGTGCAACATTAAAGGTGGTGTTAGCATAAAAGAACTTGACAAGAAGTTGAAACATTTAAGTTTTTGCTTTTCAGTTGTTCTTAATGGCATCATCAGAGAGTGACCCGTGACACATCTGGAGTGTTGAGATGAACAAAGATTGCTTCAGAATGAAACTAATGTTGAAGAGCTGCTGGAAAGCTTGGAAGATTCGTTTACATTTTTAGTGTGGGTCTCTTTTGATGATATCTGTGTCATCCAAAATTGATTTTCTAGGATCAAACTCAATATTCTTCTCCTCTAAGCAATATTCTGCTATTCTTTAATAGGCAATGGTTCTTCGGGGTCAAACGTGCCACTACATGCACATGAATAAACTGATCTACTAGACTTTTTCACGAGAAGCATGATTCTTCTCTGTCTTACAGCTGGACTATTGCCAAAATTTACATTTTACTTAAGCAAAGTAAAGTATTTTCATTGCTTCACTCTACACAATCACTTGTTTCATACTTTAAGGCCAGAAGAAAATCAGCAGATCATATAATCTGACTCCAAGAATATGACAGGCCTTTAAATTTGACCCAGTTACTGAGACCAATAAACTGCTCCTTGACTAAAGCATGACACATGTCTGAATAAAATATACCTTTCAGAAGGCATCCACAGTGTTGATCTGAAAACAGTCAGAGATGGAGAATTCACCACTTCCCCTGGTAGCTTGTTCCAATGGTTAATCACCTTCATCAATTTCTATCTTTTGAATAATTTGAATTTGTCTGGCTTCAGCTTCCAACTATTGGCTGATGTTCTGCCTTTTTTTCCCCTTGATTAAAGAACCCATTAGTACCCAGTATTTTCTCCTGGGAAAGACATTTATCCACTAATCTTGTCACGTCTGTTTTTATATATAAACTAAAGAGACTGAACTCTGCTACCTCTCACTCTAGAACAGGGCTACTCAACACACGGCCCATGGCCTGTTTGTTTGCGGCCCGCAATGCTGTTTGGGTTTATGCAGGGCTCAACACGCGGCCCATGGGTGGGATCCTTTGAACATGGCCTCCACTGGGAACATGCTCCACAATGGCGAGGCATCTCTCGGATGGGGTATGCATTGAAACGCAAGCTGACAGGCTGGCTGGAATAGACGGGTACAGGATGTCAGCATTTCTAGCCCCCAGAGAGGTGGTGCGGGGAGCGCTGGGGTATTAAGGGAAGTGCTGGCTGCTTAGCCGTGTGCGCAGAGCCTGAGAGGTGCTAACTGGCTCACACTGGCCATGTTTGGGTCTGGCGCCGCAGCTTAAGGCTTAATCTTTGTATTCATGCCTGTCAGTGTGAAAGAAGCTATTTGCATATATTTGCATATATATTTGCATGTATAAGCAACCACACTTAAGTTGCGGCCCTTGGCATGTGCTGTGAGTATCATTGTTGCTCCCAGGGCTTCCAAAGTTGAGTAGCCCTGCTCTAAAACATTTTCCCACATTATCTGTATGGCTCTTTTTCCCAATCCTCTTTGATGTTTCAAAATCCTTTTTAAAATATGAACAGCAAAAGTGCAAACAGTATTCCAGTATTGGTCTCACCAATACCATATACAGAGCTACAATCACCTCCCTTCTGGTGTTCCATGCATAGAGCCCTGACCCTCTGACTTGGCGGGCCTGATTAATCACTTGTGAAGCAAAATTGCGTAGCTTATTTTGAGGTAAGGGTGCTATATGGACACACCCTGAGGGACCACACTAGCTCTTTTTCGACACAGCACCACACTGGGAGCTCAAGTTCAGTAGCTTGGACTTCTACTAGGACCTCTAAATCCTTTTCCCTGTCAGTGCTTTCCTCATTCTGTAGGCATGGCCTTTGTCTTGGCTGTATTCAAGCTCTATGTGACTGCCCACACACACAGTAAATAGTCTTCATTATTTACTGCTCCCTCCATATTTGTGTTAGCCACAAATTTTATCAGCAGCAATTTTATATTTATTTCCACATTTGATGAAAATGTTGAATAGTGTCAAGTCTAGTCACAATTCTTGTGGAAGCCCTCTACAAAACAACTCCACTTTTTGGATGACGATTCCCTATTGACTGCTTTTGAGATCTGTCAATTAGCCAGTTCTTCACTGATTGAACAAGTGCTTGATTGATATTATACAGTGTCAATTTTAAAAAAAAGAATTTTGTGCAGCACCATGATAAATGCCTTATAAAAGTTTATTGTATCTACACTATTATCTTTCTCAAGCAAGCCTGTTAACTCAACGAATCAAGTCAGGTTTGCTTGACAAGAGCAATTTTCCATTGAATCATGCTGATGGCATTAATCACATTCCTATCCTTTAATCTTTAGAATAAGAAACAACCTCCTGACAGAATCAACATGGGAAGATCGAAACACATAGCCAGCTTTATAGCAGGACCACACTATTCTCTGCAAGGTGGGCAGAGCAATTTCAAGACTCTAGCAAACCCAGAAGTTCCCAGCTCCATCCACTCCCTACTTCAACATCCAATGATACTTGATTCTACCCAATAGTTACACCTCTCTCTCTCTCTCTCCAGTCAGTCACTCCATCCTTCTGTCTGTTTCCCATCCCTTCTGAACAATTATATGACAACCTTCTCATAGTTCCCTAAAAAGTATAAGTGGGCCCTCAATTTTCTCATCATTTTCAAAATCTTATTGAATAAAATGTTCAATCACAGATTGGAGTTAGAACTTATTTTTTCTAGTATTACAAAAACTTTCAAACATTTTATAGATATGCTAATAAAACTAAGCAATACATACTCAAAAAGTGAAGAAAATACCCCCCAAGCCTCCCCCAACCCCTCTCT